ATGCAAAAGCCTAGCTGTCGACCGGACTTCCTCATCTTTTATTCTCCTCTTGTTGTGATATAGTACAAAGAACCCAAGGCTTTGAAATCAGAAGAACAGCATTCAGGTCATGGCCTGCCACATATTACCACCTGTGAAACCTTGGGTAAATCACTTGACGACTTGAGATTTTAGTCTGCTTATCTGTGAAAAAAGGGGCAGCTAGGATAGAGCACCTGGCCTGAAGTCAGGAAGACTTGAATTCCAACTTGGCCTCAGATTCTTATTAGCTGTGTGACCCTGGGCAAGTCACTTAACCCTGTTTGCCTCAGTTTCCTCATCTATAAAATGAGCTGGAGAAGGAAATGGTAAACCACTCCATTATCTTTCCCAAGAAAACCCCAAATGGGGTCAGGGAGAGTCGGATATGACTGAAAACTACTGCACGACAACAATCTGTGAAACAATGCAGTTAGAGTTGATGTCTAAGATCCTTCTAACCCAGTGGTCTCTATGATAGATAGGTGTGAAAATATGTATATCTATCTTTACACACGCGCACGCACCTTTTTGCTTGATTAGGGATTTTTAGCAAGAGGGGTTGAGATTTTCTGTGGCACAGTCTGATTTTCTTCAAGATTCCTGGGAACTCATTGGTAAACAGCAGAATCTCTAGTTTGGGCCAAGACTTAGTAGAGACATAGAAATATTGAATATCAAAGCTGGAAGGGGCCTCAGAGCAAAGAAAGTTAGAGCTAGTCCCCTTAGAGACCCTTTAGTCCCAATAGCCCCATTTTATAGATCAGGAAACCAAAGTGCAGCCTGTTATCCAAGATCTTACAATGGCTTAGAGCCAGAACCCAGATTTTCTGATTCCCGATCCAGAATTTTTTCCCTTACATCCTATTTCACTCTTCAAATGGGATGTGAGAAGACAGGGAGCAAGCGTGTGTTTGTAGTTCTATGAGTTCAAAAATCATCTGTGAGATCATAGATTTCGCACTGGAAGGGATGGTAAATCAAACCTAAGCCCCTCCTTTTACAGATGAGACAATTGAAGCACAGACAGGTTTAGTGATGTGTTTAGGGTCATGAAGTTATTAAGTGCCTGAGGCTGAATTTGAATAGAGATCTTCTTAACTCCAAATCCAGATCAGGTTTAGTAACTTCTTCTTTGGATTTAATAACTTCTGCCTCTTCATCTTGATCAGACTTGCTAACCCCTAGATCTCAGGGCAGTGTCTAAATGCAGAACAAGTGTCTACATCTGGTCTAAGGAGCAGAGAGAACACTGAGATTTCATCTCCACATGTTCTGAGTCAGAGTACCCATGGGAGGAAAAAGGGGGGACCATGACACTGTTTGAGCTCTAAGAATCATATCCTTCCTCTTTGTCCACATTTCTAGTTTCCCTGAGGACACTTTCCCCAACTCTCAAGACTGCCCACCACATAGAAAATATTTCTAGCTGGTCCACACTTGTTGATTACTTACTATGTGCAAAATCCTGTACAAGGGGCCATTGTATTTTAGATTTAAAACTGAAAGATTCCTTAAATGCCATCTAGTTGACCCACACACACTTTTTACCGCTGGTAAATGATTTGCTCAAGGTCACGTGGGTAATAAGTGGCAGGTTCACATTTGAATCCAGGTCCTGTGACCAATGGTTGATTTTTTTCTTTCACTGTGATAGGCTGCTTCCCACAGCAGTTTGTTTTTTACTACCATGATGAACTTAATTGTCATCTCCTCCAAACCTAGAAGTATTCTTCTGGTGCTTAATAAATGCTTTTTGAATAAATTGATGAATGAGTAGAAAGCACAGTTTCTATCTTTGAGGAGGGCCGTGATTGAATCAACATGAAACAAGGGCAGTTTCTCTCTTTGAGGAGGACCGTGATTGAATCAACATGAAACAAGGGCAGTGGTTGCAGTTAGGCTGATCAACCGAGCAAAACTCTGTACCCCATCCACTGTTGTTCCCAGTGCAGCTGCCCTTCTGGCCTCTGCCTAGTTGTGCCCCTTGATTAGACAGCATTGTTAGAGACCCCCAGGTGGAAAGTTTGTCTAAGGAGCCTTTGCCCTATTGGGAAATGGGGATAGATCTTTACTGTGCTCTCCATTACCTTTGCCTTTTGGCTTTGTTTCAAGCCTCAGCTCAGATTCTGCCTTTTGTAGGGAGTCTTTCTTAGTCTCCCCACTCCTAGTGCCTTCCCTCTATGGTTATCTCTCAATTACACTATATCTGTATGTCTCGTATGACCAGTTTTTTGCATGTTGTCTTTTTCATTTGAATGTGAGCTACTTGAGAGCAGGGGCTGTCTCCTTGCCTTTCTCTGCTTCTCTCTCCCTCTCTTTCTCCCTCCCTCCCTCCCTCTCTCACACTTGGCAGAATGCCCAGCACATAGTAGGCACTTAATAGATCCTTGTTAACTGACTTAAATGAGTGTTGAGGAGAGCCGGTTCTCTGTTTCAGCTGCTATTAATGTCGAAGAGGGCTCCCTGTGGGTTTTTCCTTTGACTGCTGTCAGGTGCTTCTGGACAGTGCTCCGTTTAGAAGACAGCTTCTCCAGTCAATACTAACTCAACACAAACAAGCCATGGCAGTTACTTAAGAAATGGCTCCCTTGAACTCTGCCAAGCTGAAGAACCGTTCATCCACATGGAGGGCCTTGCCCCGCTGGGGCCTCTGCTCCAGACCAAACACTGGATTGAGTTATTCTCAGGCTTAGGTTGCTCAGTGAGGCCATGTGAGTCAGTACTGTCTGGGGTGGAAGATGGCACTTCCTTTCCTGGGGGATGTGAAGCATCCTCTGAGGGCTCACTCCAGGGAGGCTTAGCAATGACATGCCCTGCTGCAGGGTTTGTCTTGGCCTCCATCCAAAGGGGTTCCAGTATCAGAAAGATTTGATTAGAATGCTACAGCACTCATAGCCATGCCAGGCTCTCAGTTCCTCAACAGAAGAGGCTGTGTCTTACTGTCTCTGATTCCTCCACAACAGATTAAATCAGTACATGGCTGTGGATTGGTTGACTCATGGCTTGGGCGGGGAGGATAAGACTGGTAGGAATTGAAGCCCTGCCCAGGCTCTAAGAGGCTAATTCCTGGAGCTTGGTGACCAGAGGCTATGGGATCCCAGTAGGAAAGGGACAACTGAGGCTTAAGAAGCCTATGGAATGATGGGTCAGACTCCCAGCACTGGGTGCTTTGCTCAAAGAAGGTAACATGAGAGGATGCATCTTCATAACCAATGCAAAAGCATTCTTAGAGTGGGAGAAGAATCTCAGTTGATCAAAAAGCATTGATTAAGACCCTGCTTTGTGCCAGGCACTGCATTAGGTATTGGGAGACAAAAGTGAATCAGTCCTTGGCCTAGAGGAACTTATAGTCTATCTGTATACATATATGGATGTGCTACAGATACATATACATACATACATACATACACATATATCTACATATACACATATGTGGATATACAGCATATATATACACACATACACACAAATACATATGTGGATATACAGCACGTATCTATAAAGGTAAATTCACAATGGATAGAAGGTAGTTTTGGGGAAGAGTACTAGCTCTGGGATTTCAAGAAAGACTTTTTTTTTTAATTAGTTAATTTATTTATAGTTTTCAACATTCACTTCCATAAGCTTTTGAGTTTTACATTTTCTCCCCCTCCTCCCCAAGACAATGTGCAATCTGATATAGGCTCTACATATACATTTCTATTAAACATCTTTTCACATTAGTCATGTTTTAAAGAAGAATTAGAACCAATAGAGAGGAACCGTAAGAAAGAAGAAACAAAAACAAAATAGAAGGAAAAAAAAGAGCAAATAGTATGCTTTGATCTGTATTCAGACTCTATAGTTCTTTCTCTGGATGTGGATAGCATTTTCCATCATGAGACTTTCAGAGTTGTCTTAGATCCTTGCATTGCTGAGAAGAGCTAAGCCTATCAAAGTTAGTCATCATGCAATGTGGCTGTTAGTGTGTACAGTGTTTTCCTGGTTTTGCTCACTTCACTCAGCATCAGTCCATACAAGTCTTGCCAGGTTTTTCTGAAGTCTGCTTGTTCATTATTTCAAGAAAGACTTCTTATAGACTGTGACACTTGAGCTGATCCTCGAAGGATACCAGGGATGCTAAAAGACAGAAGTGAGGAAGGAGTGCCTTCTGGGCATGGGAGACAAAGTTCTGGAGAGAGGACCTAAAATGCCAAGCACAAGAACTGCAAGGATAGTTTAGCCTGCATTGTAGAAAGGATAAAAAAGGAAGTTAGGTGCAGTGGGGCTGGAGAGATAGGTTAGGGCCAGGTTGTTGAAGAGCTTTGAATGCTTTATATTTGACATATATGATGTATTTAATATATATTTCTATATTTGACATACATACACATCTGTATATATGTGTGTATACGTGTATATATACATACACACATGTATGTATTGCATAACAACAAAAATTTGCCATTTTTATATTTGATCATAGAAATAATAGGGAGCCACCGGAGTTGATTAATGACTGGTTAAGGGAGTAACATAATTGATTAGACCTGGGCTTTAGGAAAATGAGAGGTAGGTATTCAGGGCTTGGTTGCTTTTCCCTTTGAATTCTGTTGACAGCATTCTATAGCAAGGTAGAATGGGAATATTACTGTAGAAGGATATTACTGCTAGAAGATAATATTACTATGGCTCTGAGTTCTAATCCCTGCTCTCAGATTAACTCACTCTGTAATTTTGGATAAGTTACTTCTCCGTGGAATAATGGTTTTCCCACCTACAAAATGAAGGCATTGAACTAGATGGTGTCTATTGTCCCTTCCAGCTCTTAACGTTTTGAGTTAATCTCTGTGTGTGTTTCTCTACCCCATGCTCCCTCCTCTCCTCTCCTACAGTGTAGTAAATTTGTACTTTGCATAGTGCTTGGCACATTGTAGGTGCTTAATAAATGCTTATTAATGGACTGATTGCTGAAACTTCTTCCTTCTTCTCTTTTGCAGTTACTGAGAAGGAAGTCCAGCAGTGGTGAGTACCTGTCTTCCAGTTTCTTATACCTTTCAGATTCTCCTTTAGGAGAGAGTGGGGCTAATATTTGCTGAAACAGTCTTCTGTAGAGCAGAGGAGCAGAAAGAATGTGGGTGTTGGATACCACATATATATCTGAATATAGTTTCAAAGTTTCCCCTGTCGCATACCCCTGGTTCCGTGCTTCATACTGGAATTAATTTGCCTGGTCTGAGGCCTACCAATCCCCACCAATGGAGCTGAATTATGATTTAACACATGGATTAATTGTTCCAAAATGCAGAAAAGTTACAGAAATGACAGAATATTTCTTACACTTCTAGATTCAGGCCCTGTTGCTCCCTAGTGAAACTGGGCCTCTATAGTCAAGGCCCCTCTAGGGGTGGGGAAGACATTCCCTTGGGTGCTGAGTCAAAGAGGGCAAGTCCTTGACAGTGTGACACTGGAGAAGTATTTACAGGGGCTGGCCTCTCACTTTCAGGTTTTTTGGAGGAAATGAAGGGTAAAAGGAAAAGAAGAGATCTGTGCTGGGGGTTGGGTGGGGATGGGTGTGGGAGAGGAACAGTGTGCCAGGATTGCCCTGGTCCCTTTCCTAGGTAGGGATGAGGACAGCCCAGAAGATCCAAGGCCACAGAGGCTCTGCTGGCCCAGGCTGGGCAATGCTCTTGGGAGAGATGGGACCTGAATCCAGATGAGCAGGAAACGTCTTTCTTTGCTCCCTGAGCTGTGATTCTGCAGCTCTGAGGCTCTGCCTGGTTGGTTGCTCATCTACGTGCAGAGCACAGGCTTGATTCCTGCAAGCCCTACCAGCTGAGAGGGAACTGAGAGATATTCCCCATCTTTGTCTCCTCTAGGGGCAGAATGGGGAGAGGAAAGAGTACAGACAGGGTGCAGGGCTCCCTGTAGCTTGAAGTTCACTTCTAGGTCTGCCTATTTGGGGTTTGGATGGGGAAACTGTAGATACGGGGTATTTCTGAGAAATTGTGGCTATTTCTAGGAGAGAAAAACAACCCATCCCTCAGTATCCTTGCTCCTTTCTCTTCCCTCAGGGCTTACAATGCCTCTTCTCCCTATAGGTGAGGAGGCAAGGTGGTATAGAGGATTAAATGCTGGATTTGGAGTCAGGAAGAACAGAGTTCAAATCCAGCCTTTTTAGTTGTGTGACCTCTGAGCAAATCACTTTTTCCCTTTGAGCGTCAGTTTCTTCATATGTAAAATTTACCATGCTGTTGTGGGGAATGAAATGGGATTTTCTGTCTATTTGTCTGTCTGTCTGTCTGTCTGTCTATCTATCTATCTATCTATCTATCTATCTATCTATCTATCTATCTATCTATCTATCAATCCATCTATCATTTCACAAACCTTAAAGGGCTATATACATGCTAGCTGTCATTATTATTTTAGGTTATTCCAGTAGTCCTTATTGGACTTTGATGGAATACCAGGGGTGCTTTGCTAGGTCTCTCACACACACACACACACACACAGAGTTCATTTTATAGATGGGATAATTGAAGCTTAGAGATGAGGTGTGTCTTGTCCAAGGTCACACAGCCAGTTAGTGTCTAGAATTCAGGATTTCTGTGTGTTCTTTGTACTGCTTATGTTCTAGGAACTGGGGAAGCAGGAGTGAGTGTCCTTTCTCTTCTTTTTTTGGGTATGCTCCTGGCTACCCCTGAGCACTGAGCCCCGGGGATGCCTTGGCTTCCCTTTCCTTCTCTCCCTTCAGCAGAGATGCTGTAGAAGCTACTTATCTTCTCCCCATCCCGATGTCCATGAATCATAAGTTTGGGAACCTGATATGAAAAAGTCTTAAGTCTGTTCCCCCTATCCTCCCTCCCACCCCAGCCAGACAGATCTAGGAACAGGGCTGTTGTACAGTCCCACCTGCGTCACTTTAGACTGGAGCTGTCTACAAACATCTGGGTGGGGCTCCTGGGATGGGTGGGATTAGCTCCAACAGTGAAGGCTTTTCCTTCACAGGGAAAAAGAAAGACCTGGAAGAACTAAGGGATAGTGAGTGACGAGTGAGATAGGCGTGATGGTGCAGTGTGTTTGGGTAGGTAAGCCAATTGAGGCAATAGGGAAAAAGTAGAAGAGGCAGGAAACCTGGGTTCTAGTCTCGGTTTTTTGCCACTGACTTGCCCTGTGGTTTAGGACAAATCACCCTCTCTTAGGTTTCTCCATCTATAAAATGAGAAGGTTGGACCATGTGAACCCATAGGGTACCTTTCAGCTCTGTGATCTGTAGTTCGATAATTCTGGGATCCAGCTGGTTCTGTTGAGTCTCAGAACCCCCAGTGTCACCGGCGCCCCTCCCCAGGGAGCTTTTCAGTACTGATGTTCCTTCTACCACCCCTTCTGCCACTAGCCCTTGAGGCTGACCGCTTTGCTTCAGGATTAGTGACTGCTGTCAACTAATCTTCTTGGAGAATCTTAATGGCCGCTAAGGAGCTAGTGTCACCCTTCTGGGAAACAGGTTTGTGATTTTACTGGAGCCTTCTGGGGGCCATAGCTTATCTTAATCCAGCAAATGGTGGGAGTTTCTGGTACTGTGAGAAGCAGGTCTGGAAAGGAGTATAAAGTTTAAAACAAGGAGAGACAGAGGTCATTGAGTCCAACCTCCTTATTTTGTAGATGAACAAACTGAGGCCCATTGAGGTAGAATGATTTGTCCGTTGCCACCCAAGTAAGCACCAGAGAGTCAAGTCTTTCGACTCCCAATGCACACCACACTTTACTGCTGCTCCTGGGGGCAGGTGGGACTGTCACTGCCTCTCAAGTACCAATGAGGGGGTGGTTGCCTAGATGTAGTAGGAGCCCAGCTTGCTGCTCAGCCATATGCAGACACAGCCTAGAGAATACAACTCCCCCCTCCACTCCTTCCCCAACCCCCCTCACATTCTCATGTACCAGCTCAGTTCCCCACCCCCAAGGGGTTTTGGGAAAATGAAGCTGGCAGCTGAGGAGGGGAGTAGATTCCAGAGACAGTGCCAAAGCCTCCAACAGGGATCTAGCCCAGGTGGTGGGTGGGAAAGAATACTTCCAAGCGTGTATGCTCCCCTGCTCCCCTGTGGAGATATATTTGTTTGTGTGTGTGTGTGTGTGTGTGTGTGTGTGTGTGTGTGTGTGTGTGTAGAGTATTAGGGGTGGGGGTCCTGGGAAAAGGTAGGCAGGGTAGATGTCCAAAGTGGCAAGTCTATATTTTTTTCTGGACATTGTCCCTTAGTTGCTTGAAAATTCCTCAGTCTGATCTAAGACTCCTAGAGGGAATTGAGGGCAGTGAGAGCCAACCTGTCTTCACCACCTGACTTCACAAGATGGGGAGGGTGAGGAATGCATTATTACCAGGGGAAAAGCTGGGAACTCTTTAGGGGCAGCCTTCCCCTCCTTTCTCCCTTCCCCCTTGCTGGTGTTTGATTTCCCTCTTTTCTGGATCTCCCACAAGAATAGAAGCAGAAATTTCAGAAAACAATTTCTCTTTTCCTGCTGTTCTCTTTCCTCTTAATGGCACCTTCCAGCTTCTCATGTGGCTGTTATTATTACTGGTGTGCCCACTTAAGCCTGCTCGGTGATCATCAGGAGGGTGGGTGGAGTGGGCTAGTGTGAAAAGAGGAGGAGGGATGAGGAGGAGAAGGGAGGAGGACCAGGAGCTCTTTATCGGTGTCCTCTCAAGCACCTAAAGGTGATCAGGACACCTGGCTTCAACTGCCCAGGGAGCAAATCTGCAAGTTCAGCCATTGTTCTCCTGTTGTGTAAATGGGAGGCTCTGAGGATTTGAGCCACTTGCCCAAAATCTTGGAGGGAATCAAAAGAAGTGGTGGTTAATGGAAACTAGAACTCCTGATCTGCTTTCCCCTCTCCCACTGCTCCCCTCCCCCAAGCTCTTTCCACAAATATCTTTCCTCTGTCATAATTTCAATTTTTGTGCTAAAAATGTCCCTTGGATCATTCTGGGTTTGGCCTTGAAGCCTAGGGCTGTAATGGAATGAGACTAAAAGAAAGTCAGAGAATGCCTCTCTTGGGGGCCTTTTTTGGAATGATCTGCCACCCCTACCTGCTGCTAGATTTTAGCCTTGCCTGGGGTTGAGATAAAGGACTGGGCAGTGGTTCTGAACTCTGCCTCCATTTTTCTCATCGTTTCAGGATACATAAATAAGTAGCAACTAAATAGTGCTTTAAGGTTTGCGAAGCACTTTAAAAATATCATCTCATTTTATTCTCTCAACACCCGAAGAAGGTAGGTGCTGTTATACTCACTTTACATTTGAGGAAAATGAGGCAGAGGTTAAGTAAGTTGGATTTGAGGTTGGATTTAAACTCAGGTCTTCCTGACTTTAGGTCTAGAGTTTTATCCACGTTTTTCACTTGGCTGCCACTAGGTATAATTGGTAAGCACTGGTCAATCAGAGACACTTGAGACCAAAAATGTCTTCTGCACCAAAGAATTATGCAGTCCATATCATGAGATCATAGATTTAGAGCTGGTGAGGATCTTAGAAGGTCATTGAGTCTGACTTTTCATTTTACATATAAGAAAACTGAGGCACAGAGCAACACACACACACATACACACACACACACACACACACACACACACACACACACATATATATTTAATTACTTCCTTACATAGCTTGTAAATTTCTGAGACAGGATTTAAATCTCAATCTTCCTGACTCCAAGTCCAGTGCCATATCTATTATGGCAGATGAAGTCTGGGATAGAAACCCTGCATTGAGAGAGAAGGCTTCTTAGGCACAATGGCTAAGAAATAAGCTTCTCCACCCCGGTGCATCTGACTCCCAAGTCTCCTGGGCACCAGCAAAAGGGCAAAATGCAGATGCTAAAACCTATGGTGGCTTTCTTGGCCACATACTGTGGGCTTAGGCATTTGGTCACTGCCCTGGCAGGGAGTATATAAGGACTCATGATCTGAGACCTTAGCTCAGAATTACATTCACACCATAGTACTTTTGATTAGTGGAGCCTTGACC